TATTTTCATTCATTGTTATTCATTAATCAAATCAAATCATGTGAATGCTGTGGGGCAATGCTATTCTACGCTACTTTCTCTACTTCAGTCCTAACTTTTATTTTTTTATAACATTTTTATTACTTATCTAATACCAACCTTACACAATCCTCTCCCCAGACATGACAAACTGACCAACGAATAAATACTTTGAGACGTTGTTTGAATACTGAATTCATTTCCGGGTGCAATCTGGAAAGCATAAGGTATATAGATAATTTAACTTTTACTGGTGAATACAAAACTATGTTGGCGACTTTATATCTGCACTCATGTTTCTGATATGTAATAGCAAATGTTGCACAGGAGCTGGAATTCTCGAAGAGAGCAATCACTGGTCAACTGTTAAGAACAATAATCAAAATAATTATTATGTATCAATATAGGATAGTCTACTTCGTTAACTGTTCTGTTTCTGTATTTCGGGATATAAAAAACTCATTCTCAATTCACATTATGCTCATGTTTCGCGATCTGTCCAGGAACAGGTTTCCCTGGTAAGGAACAATGTCATTAGAGTAATGGAAGGCTTGAAGAGGAGCAATTGTTGAAAAATTTACCAAGTGTAGACCTTCCTATATAGGCACGTTTTTATGTATATATCAATAGTGTGTCTCCATGAAATTGTTTAAAAAGGTTCTTCATGCTGAAGAAAATTCTGCTATTCGCTACCAGAGCAAGCTAAATGATGATCAGTTGTATGTTTGATGGCCATAAAATGGTCTTTATATTTGTTACGTTTTTACTAATGTCATTTGTTCAAATCAGCCCACTTTCATGAGGTAATTAAACTTAAATTTTAATTTTCACATTCACTAGCCAATTTGTCTGATGATCCAAGTACATTTTTGTGTATTGTGAAATATGAATATAAACTATTAATATAAATGGTTTTAGTAGGTATTTGTTCCAACTGTTGATTAAATATGTAAAATATTTAGTAAATAGTTGTTCACTTTCAGCAAGCAATCAACTTCTTAGGACATACATATTTTTTAAATAGTGTTACAAAAAATTACTTAATAATGGCATTCTAACAGGTACCTATATAAACTTATTGAGTATTTTATTAATTTTCGAATTACTCCTGCAAGGTGCCCATATTCAAGCATCTTATTTGAAAAAATATTTAGTATACAAACTATTAGTTGATGGATAAGTTCGTAGAGTTTTTAGTGAATTAAAAATTAATTGTTTTTTATAAACAAACTGCATCAATGTTTCTTACGTCTACCTAACAGTTTAATTTTTTCACGCCTGCAGAATTCCGGTAGTTTAGAAGTGAAGAATTCACCAAGCGAATTTTGAAGCGCGACATCATCATTAAAAGAGATTTCATAAAGGTGGTTCGATCGAGAGCGGAAGAGATAGATACCTGATGGAGCAAGATCAGGAGGATTGGACGGATGTGGGATAACCTGCAACCGAGCTTTCTGAAAATGGGTAGGAAAAATAGGACCAAGCTTTCTGAAAAGGAGAATAGATGGAAAATCAGCAGATGATGCCTTTTCGGACTTTTTGCTTGAAGTGTGGCTTCAAGTAAACGGAGTTGTTGGTCTTTTACCTTACTTACATTCCAAGAAAAACAATTCATAGCAGACGACGCCGATGCCTTATTCTTAAACTATTCTTATCTATTACTGGTGTTGACATAACCATTTTTCGTCACTAGTAACAAAATGAGACAGGAATGATATATGCTGTTGGCGAGCTAAAAAATTATAAGGAATCAGCAAATATGTACAAATATTAATACTTGGTTTTTCTTTCAACTTAAAGTAGCAGAACCCATATACTCAATTTTTAATTCATGTAATACTATGATCAACTGGCCAATTCTGTAGATCATTATGAATGTGTGATCTTCCTGATTATGGAAAATCGTTTATTTCAAAATAGACTCCTTTGATTTTTGTGCTACACTTTCGCCAATGGTATTCTCTTAATAAACGGGACAAATGGTTCTAACGTCATCCGATGCTATTAAACTCAAACGAAATAATATTTTGGAAATACCTGTTTCTTTTTATTTGTCACTATAATTTATTTTGCAATAATTCAGTTCGAGGCTTATAACAATATCATGACATTAAAACAAATCTGATATATGTGTAACAATCAATTTCCAAGGTACTCTTGCCATGGAAACAAAAACGCTACTATATTAGGCATCATCCCAATACAATCGCAGAATTTAAATGAACAAATAATAGTGTTAATGTATCTTGGTATCGTTGTGAAAATGTGTCCTTCATCATCACAGCTTTCGAAGCTTCATAAACGTGAAACAGTTGTTAACAAACAGAAAGCATCATTTAAAACTCCTAAATGGAATTTCTCAATTTATTTTTTATATTACAGCACATTAAGGAAGGTTTGAAAAAAAATTACTTTCGATTTCATAAACAATGTTTGAAAGGTTACGTAAATATGTAGGTATAATAATAACTGATGAAATATTAAGAACATTCTTAACATTTTACGAAGCCAGACGTATTCGAAGCCTTACCTTAACCACTGCCAGATATATACATCATTGGAAAGGTGTGTAATACCGGAATGGGCTGTACCATCTATAAAACAGTGAAAGGATTCGCTTTCTCCTGCGGAATATTAAAAGATACTTCTCAGCATCCTTACATACCTGTTTTAAATATTAACTTTTTATTTATATTTATATTTACCAAGCATTTACCAAAATTTATCATGTCAGTTTATTGTTTTGTATCAAGTTGAATGAACTTGATAATTGACTTTATAACTAAGGTGAAGTCTCTGTCTGGGTGAATCTGTAAACAAATTTTCTCGAGTATTACGCAAATTTTATAAATACAAATCTTAGTAATGCCAAACTTGCTTCATTTATCTAAACAGCAGGGATTCGTCAGGTCAAGTAACTTCATGTGTTTAAAAACTCAAAGAATTGAATTTAATTTTTCTAAGAATTGACTACCTACTTGTTTTATTATCACAGATTTGACTTGATTTACTACTACTAAAAGTATTTAAAAAAACATTCATATTTTCTATCCATGTATACATGTACACATTTACAAATTCGAATAGATACTTATATAATAATATTAGCCCATAAAAATATTTATAGGTGTACCTATAATTTTATTAATCAGATCAGGAATTATTGTAATATAAATGTAACTACCTTTATTGAAATTTGGTTTTATATACCGCTCCAAAAATTGTGTTTACCTTTTCATAAATATGTACTGGGCATTTAAATTTAAAACAGCAAAATTTCTCGTTATAATACAGAATATATGACTAAAACGACCACGACCAATATAATTACAGTCACATGTGCCATTCACTCTACATTCTAAGTTGCGCTAATTCTTAAGTTACTATGCGTATTTATAGATTTACATTAATAAGTGCAGTAAGCTTAATAATGTTCGATTGTTGCAACTCAGGAGAACGGACATGAGGTTCCTTACTGACTGTATATACACTGACTGGAACAACACTATTTAAATAATTTAATAATGCAAATATGAAAGCTGTAACTTATATAATCGCAATTAAGACAGGCATAAAACGGAATTCGAAAAGTTGCTGGAATTAGTAAGGATATCTAAATTATACCAAATTGCTTAAGTCGTATTGCGTACATGGTTAAATAGAGTTACGTTCGTTCAAAATTGTCTCCTGAATAATGCTCTAGATATTAAAAAGTAGGTATGTTCATTAAGGACCATTCGCACTGAATTAGCTTATCTCCCAACAAAAAGGATATTAGCAGAGAGCTCTTGGTATGTATCTAGCTTAATTATGAACTGATACAATTCAGTTGTAACAAATAAAATATTGAGCTGTAAATTGGAAATCATTAAAAACATTTTGCTAAGCTAAGCTTTATGGATAACTAAATGTCATTTGCTTCATTTATGTATCCAATTTGATGATGGAAATGATTTCTGTATAAGATCAAACTATATCAATTATTTCTAATGACAGTATTCAGGTATTAACTGAACGTACAATGATATCAAACTTTTGTTTCATTGTTGATCAAATCAACATCTCAACAATCCATGTGCTCGAAAGTCTGACAAACACTGGAAAAAAAATCGTTTTTTTTAACTTTAACGCAGAATATAGCGAAGTAAAGTATTCTTTTCAGTTTGTCGGGGACAACATCTTTGTATTACTTTCGCCTTCTACTATAAATGTTTTCCAAGAATTCCAAGCAATACGAGATCTTTACCATAGAACAATGTATATTATTTAGTATTACGTAACATAATTTGGACGATTATTACGCAAAACTTCCTCATGTAAATCTAATATTTGTAGTGATAACTTTTTACTATTGTTCCTGGGATTTCCTGTATTAGAACTGAAGCAATCAAAGAGCATAAAATATGAATATAGAGACCATTATAGATGTTTGACACGTAGGTGAATGTAAATCACACGCAAACGTAATCCTTCTGGATCACCTTGAGAATATAATTGAATAAAATGCATGCGGTTGTCTGGGGAAAAGCGCGACAAAATGAATTACACAAATCAATTTTTAAGCATTCCCCAAAGCTTTTTTGCGCAAAAAGCATTAGTGTTCTGTTGCGCTCTCAAGGATAAAGAATTTTATATTAGCTCCTTTGGCCACTTTATTCTACCTACCTTCTAACAGTAAGCTGAAGAGAAAGGAAATTACTGTGATAATTCTTAATATCCATGAAAAGATTCATATCTTTTCATGGATAACTATTATGCATTTATGTAAAATATACGGAAATTGCCAGAATATGAAACAAAGATTCTTGTAATAAAAACTATAATTTCTCGCTATGAAAATATCGGTAATATCCACAGTCTAAAATCAAATAGTAGTTCTGTAACAATTTTCGAATAAAAAGATATTAGTGCATGTTACATTTACGTATTATATATCTCTTTAGATTAATACAGTTCTTTAAAAATAATTATTTTTGGTGCAGTTGGTTGCTGGTTCTGGAGCTACAGAAGAATCAGACGAGAAAGCCAACTCCCCAGGAGGTGTAGTTGAGGTTGATGTACAGAAATCACACGAGGGATACTCAGGTGAAGGAATTCCCGGACCCATCACCCGTCTCTTTGTCATCGCCAATCGCGGTATTGCCAACTTGGTCCAAGATTTAATCCTGGTAAGTCGCTAATCAATACAATACGGTCGTGTATGTTTAAATATACTTATAGCTTAAAAATGGACTCTGTCAATCTTTAGATTGTCACTAGGATCAAGCTAAATTAAATAAAAGATATTTTAATTGTGATGAGTTAAATTAGAGTATGTACTTCTTAATTAATAAACATCTATTACCCTTTCCTACCATTGTTGAATATTGTCATCAACAGGAAAAAAAGAAAAAGAACGACAGTCACTGGAAAATAATTGACTGCATAAAACTACTAATAATTGACACTTTAATTTTGTGTAAAAATGAAAATATTTCGATCACAAAAATATGTTGCTCTCAATTTATCCCAGTAGGTATCTGAAAGAAATTGTAGGTACCTACTGAGATACTTTCATTTTTAAGTACACAAAAATTATGTTATTTATTAATATCTAGTTTTATGTTGCCAATTTTCTTATTATTATCATTTTCCTCTGATGATGGCATAATGGTATGAAATTAGTAGGAAAGTAGAAAGTATTACAATGATTTTTCACCAAGAAAAATGTTTTAAACTAAAATTCCTTTTCAACAACAAAATTAACCAGTGAAGTAATCCCAGATACTGTAAAGTTGTTACTAAAGTGACAAATGTTATACAATCTCCAGTTAGTTTTTGATTAAAAATAGTTTAATTTTTACAATAAACTTTTTATTTTTGAATATACAATAATATTAGTCATATCATATATTTTTTTCTGAAAAACGTATGCACTAGTCGTTACGGACATATTTTATTAATGATAAAGTTCTCCATTAACTAATTTAATTAACAATTTGTATGGATATGTAATTATTTTCAAACAAATATATATTTTTGTAATATTAAGCGCTACAGCCGTGTCTAAATTAGTTGCGTAATATAATTTATCGCTAAATATATCTAATTTCTCTTTAATTTTCAACATTCGTTCTGTGTATAACTGTAAGTACATATTTTAGTTTAACTCTTCTAAATGTCTGAAAACGACGATTTCACATCTCAATCTTGATAAACAACGATTTTTTGTGCCAAGGATAAATTTCAACAAATATAGTTGGTTTGGTGTGTCGTTTCGAAATTTTTGTAAGATATTTCTAATATATTGCTCATCTCTTAAATGCCAATGAGTTATCGCCCTAATTTCTTCGAAAATTTATAGGTGTTTTAAAATTGTAAAAGTGTTTCAACATACCAGTTTTGTCGCTATATACTTGATCGTTATGATAAAATGATGTTTCTTTGTATTTACGAAATATATACCTATATGCAGAGTGTTCTTTTTTTAAATGGATATTCATTGCAGAAATGTCAGACTAAAATGAATATGAATTGACTTTGTCATAATATTCATCAACATAATACGATGAAAACCGTTTGCGAGGAAAAAATTATAATACATACTAGTAGATTTTAAAATTATACACACGACAAATTAGCTTTCAAAATAAATTTTGCACTAGAAGGGTTAAATTAGAAAAAGGTCAAGGGAGTAGATACCACTTGTATTTAATTTTCTCGCATATTCTAGTAATATATTACACTCAAATTAAAAAGATGCATATCTAGCTCAAACATTGCAATCAATGTCAACCCTTTCCTTTTTCAGCGTTTGGCTGCCACCAGTGAAAAACTCGTCAACTTCAAGGCCCGTCTGATCACATCACTTATCTAAGAAAAACGGCCATCATTAATTTAATATAAAATTTCCCATGCATCATCCGAAAAACCATCTTTGCCAAAAATAGACAGCATGGAGCCTCATATTGAAAATTTATTTATCAATTTTTTTGTTAAATTTTTTATTTAAATTTGTATATAGCTGTATTAACTTTCTAATTTCTCTATTTTTAACAAATATTTTCTTGGTTTCCTACCTTTTTGTTTGTTCACTGATACTAGGCAATGAATAAACGAAAGAAATGCTGGGAACAAACGTTGTAATGTGCCATAGGTGATTTTTTTTGTTCTTGTTTGGTTAACCAAAGTGGCTATATATTATGAAGTTTGTTCCCTTAACTATTTATCTTTATGCTAAGTATTTTCTAATTCTATCTTAACTTCTACTATGATGTTTTTAGTCTACAATATAGTATTTCAATGTTTGTTCATAAATTCATCCAAGTGTAAATAACCTGAACAATTGCTCACTTTTTGATTTGTTTTGTAAATAAGAAATATTTTTCTCCAAAATGTAGATAAATTTTTCTAGACTATTTTGTTTGTAAGTAGTGTAAATAATTTTTTTAAAAAGAACACGACAGGTTAAATTTTTGTGTTATTTTTTATAGATATTAATTTTAGGTATTTGTAACTTTTAAGTTAAAATAAAAATGTCAAACAGTAACCACAAGTTTTTTTATTTTTTGTTCATTGTAATTAATATATTTGTCCTATCCTTTATTATCTGTTAATAAATAAATGTTGGATGTCAATTCGTCACCTCAAAATTTAAAAATCCAAAAGTAGAATAAATTGTAGAACCTGATGGTGCAAGAAGGAGAAAAAGGATTTCTTTTTACCTTTTTGGTACAGGAACAGGAATTGCATGCGAATGAATGCGTTATTTATTTTTTTTAAATTTAAACCAACAGAAGAGTGGACAAATATTAGTCAAAACATTTTTACAAAAATAAATAAATACAAAAGGGACAAACGCCAAGATTAGAAAATTAGCGCATACTTATGTGATGCAACAACGCATCAAATGAAATTTTTAAACGTATATCCTGCAATATCATTTTCAAAAATATCCACTTATCACCTCCTCGTACCAGTTTTCAACTGTAGTAATAGAAATTTAATGATTTACATTTCTATTATTGTAGTATGTCACTCATCAGTACTATTCATTTAGAACTTGTTTTTACATATCCTGTAAACACTTTACCTCCTAAACGCAAAAATCATACCCATAGCTTTAATATTAACAATGATAAATAATTTCCAGTTCGTAGAATATTTGAGCCAAGTATGTGGAGCCAACCGCTAACAAGAGGTATGACGTCACAACATGGCTTCCGTGAGTTTTCCCTTGCTCCGTTCTCAATAACTATCTTAGGAGAGAAATAGTTGAAAAAACATTGATTTTTGTACATTAGTCAGCTACTTACGATGTATACGAGTACATAATAGCCTGGATAATAATTAAAGATATTAATTTTTTGTGAACTAATTGCTTATCCATTTATTAACGACAAAACGAGAACATCTCTGGGTATACATGTTTTGTGAATTAGACGGTGACACATAGGAATGACGAGTGACACATCTGTATATATCTATGGAGTGATAGAACAGTAGAAGATTTATCTTCTGTGACCTAACTCCGTTGTTAAGTTCCGTGAGTTAAGTCATCATTAGTCGAACGCGCGTTGATGTACCAAATTTAAAATTTTAGATTTTACTACAATAAATGGGCAATATGATTTGATATCTCAAACGTAAATTCTTATAATATACTCGTGTTTTGTTAAATTAGTGCCAGTTTTGTTTTTGTTAAAGTACTCTTGTTGTCAACTGTCTACTATCATTCAAAAACTAAGAAGTCCATAATCAGATAATTGGTAAGTCTACTATTAATTTACTTACAAAATGGCACTATCTCAGTCTGAACATAAGTTTTAGGTACAATTACTGTTTATGTAAATTAAAATATAAACCGTAGGTATCTTAAAAATGACTCCATGAAAAAAGCCTTGCTGGTTTTTCCTTTTGAGACAACTTTATAGTTATGAGTTTTTTAACTCAATTAGTTTTTTTACACGTCTTTTTCACTATTGTGATCGGTCACGCTTCTTCTGAAAAATACATACATCTCGTATTCCACCCTTCGAGCGAGCTTCAGGATTTCAGAACACTCAGAATACTCCTAGACGTCGTCTTGTACCTACGGATATGCCTGAAACCGTTAGATTGGAAAGGAGGCGAAGCAGTCAAATTCACCTATCTTTCCAATCTAATCAGAAAAGCCGCCACGCTTCCAGATTTAATCGCCGTCGACCGAGCAAATCAAAAAAGCCTCCACGGAATAATTTCCATCATCGAATTCTATACCGTGCGAGAGCGATTTCCGCGACTCCGCATCCCACTGCGGACGTCGCCCCATAAAATAATATCGATCTCTCCGGCGGCGGCGATAGCGCCTCCAAAGTCTAAAGACCAATTTCACCGATGTTTCCAATGTCGCGGCGCTCAGTATCCACTGCAGCGACTCTCTCAACCTGCAGACGACCCCGGCACGCTTCAGGGCGATATTTGAAAACAATCTATTTTTTTACTCATCTTTCCAATTGGTCCAAGGACGCTATCGTCAATAACTCAAAAACTTATTAAGCGATCGTGGTCCAAATTTAATGCAGCACTCCTCAAGTCGCTGGCATTATCTCCCTAAAATTTCGTCCGAATCGGATGAGCCAAAACGCCGTTATACGGGGAAACGCGGATTTTACGTTTACCGCGTTTTTAGCCGTTCCGCTCATTCGATCTCGGCCGAACCTCAAAACCACACTAGAGTATCCCTAGGTGGTTATCATATCCAAATTCGAGCCAAATCGTGCGACTACTAACGGCCAGCTAATCCATAATAGGATTCCACGACTTCTTAGCTGCCGCCGGAAGTGTACACGCGACCTCGGCCGAACCCTCCAACTACTTCGTGCCGTGCATCACAAGTCCACTTCTGAACCAGATCCATTCTGTACAAAGATCTCCGTAAGCCCTTTTCCGAAGACGGGGAAAATTTCACCACACTTTCCAATTTCCCCGTCTTTGGGCTGAAAGGACCGTCTTCCGAAGGTACCACCGCTCTGGTGGTTGGATGCGATGATCGGTAGCCTAAGCCGAGACCGAGGGTAGTCTTTTTCAAAATTGAAAAAACTCCAAAATCCCCGATGCCAACATTAACTATCCGGAGAGGCAGAGGGGAACGAGATCCAACGTCGACGACGGGTGCTTTTTGCTGGACGTTTTGGCGGACGACTTACGAGCGTTCCGCCAAAAGTATGGAGATCCGAGGAAAGCGATTGAATATCGACTTCCGGCATCTGCAGTTCATTAGTGGAAGTACACAGCGCGTGAATGAGCGACACAGAACATATTTGAAAGAAATTGTATCTATGGTAAAAACCCTGTGTATGCTAATTAAGAGCACTTATTGTCAGTTTACTGTTTAATAAATCTTTTAGCATACCTTCCACGGTTTGTTGTACAAAAACCTGACATCAAACTCAAGAACTTTTGGAGCTCACAGGCTCGTTTCACGAGATCCCGTCAAGGCTGCCTACCTTCGACGAAGTATCTTACGAAGTAAGTAATAGTGCTTGGAAACCACTACTCGCTTCACGAGACATACCGCCCAAGGTAGCCCAACCTGAGGTGAAGAACCTGTTCGATAGCCCCCTGCATCGAAACAGCGGTAAACTCCAGGCTCCTTTTGAGACCTGCGATACCGCCCGGGGCTGACTACCTCCGACGAAGACCCTGTCTCCGATTGTGCCGGCTCCATCGAGAAACCCGTACCTCGGAACAGCGGTACACATAGGCTCCAACGAGTCCTACAATTCAGACTCCATCGAGTTCTGCAAATCCGAGGCTACTTTCCTCGTCAAACCACTAGGCGGTCACTCGTCGAGGCAACTTTCCTCGTCATACTTCTACGAGGCATTATCTTTGCGACTTACAAGTCCAAAGCTATAGTACGCACGTCATTGCGGCGGCGTACTCGAAATTTAAAGTTGTCCTTGCTTCTCAGGGCTCCCTCGAGAGACCCACCTTTCAGTAGAATCAGTGTTTCTACCAGACTTTCGGAGCAAAAGAGCTTGCTCCGTCATTGTCGTACGGGGTAAGATGTATCCCTGCGACGCGATATCCAGTGCTACGAGGATTGATACCCTCGAAGGTACAACTAATAAATCAGATCGTGATTCTATGATCAAGACTGAGCTGGACGAGACCTCGTCCCCATCCGGAGAGATCAGCGGTTACATGGACTGCCCTCACGCCTGTTTGCCGGCGAAAGATCTCCCGACACTCCGGGTGAAAGAGGAAATGGCTCTCATCCCCAACGCTATCTCGATGCTGCCTGGAGAGTCTGAGGGACTGAAGGTGGTAGCTCGCGGAAGTACGCGGCACGGCGCAGCCACAGCGCCGTACGCGCTGAGGTCCGCTGCTATACGAGTTACTGATACCACCTCGACCACCCCTCACGATGCACTCACGGAGGCGAGTAGCATCCACGAGTTACCACGAAGTGGGTCGCCCACAGATACTCGGGACGAGGTTCAACCTACGTACCAACTGGTAGGGTCCGGGGAATCTCGTGAGCCCGACCACGGTTCGCGATCCGGCCCCGGACGATCCAGTAAAATCAGCATTTCTATTAAATCGTACTCAGCGGGAGCAATGCGCATCTCGTTCGGGTGCCTTCCCATGCGAAAACTTCTTAGCCGACCATGTCGTAGGTGACGTGGCCAGCTCTTTTCACCTAAGTAATTCTGGTACATCGCCCTTCCGCTCTCATGATTTCCCCCGAACGTTCGATCACCGCCTAAGTGGTCCATATTTAGAAAGTCTAATCCGACACGGCGCTCAACCATCGTCGTCGAGATCTCCCCCAGGAGCTCGTGTCCTAGACACGACGTCTGTAGGACATATCCACCACAGGCCATAGTCATTTGAGAATCTAGCACGACCTGGCGCCCAAAGTGGAGCTCGAAGCTCTGTTTCGATGTCTCCACCGCCAGCCCAGGTTACTGAATCTCCCCAAAACTCACATTTATTAGGCACAACCAATCCAAACGATCATAGTTTACGACATGGCGCCCAACGTGGAGCTCGATTCGAACTTCCGATGTCGATATTACAAATACTTCAGGTCATAGTTCACGACATCTATATTTTATTATTTTTGGCAAAGATTAGTAAAGAGTATTCAGTTGATTCTTAATTTAATATTTAATACACAAATAGTTTATAAATGAAGTATGACGCCAAAATTAACAGTTTGGTTATATTTTTCTCAATTGAGTAAAAATCATAAATGTAACTTCTGCTCAAAAACAATTTTTAAGAATTCCAGTAGAATGGAAAAACATTTAAATAAGTGTATTGGCTGTCCGAGGAAAATTAGAAACCAGTTTATAAGAAAGTCTAAAGGTAAGTAATAAGTAAAATATATCAACACATATTCATTAGAATAAAAGTAATATTTTGCTTTGTGTACCCTCAAGCAGTGACCTGTGAAAACATGACATTACTCATAGGTGCCTTATTAGATTCAAGGTCAAAAGTACTTCTCCCGACATGTCCGGACATTTCATCGACATGTCCAACGGACATGTCCATTTCCGAAAAGGGCCCATCTTTAGTTTTTTAAGGACAAATTTTGTTGTAATATTTAACATGGTGATGTATTTTTTTGTGTGTGAAAAATTACATGATAGTACCCACACAGCACTACTCATTTATGAAAGCTGCAAATGTTTTATTATTTTATTAAAACTATCATAATAAAAAATAAACAAAACAAACTTACGTAATTTACGTTTATTCCATATCAAAAGCTACAATAATATAAATACAATATCTAAATAACTTTGGTAATATAATATACAAAATAAAATATGAACTTAAAAACTAAAAAATATTTTCTTGCACAAAATAATAGTACAAAGTGTTTAACAATAATGTAATAAATATGACATAAACTAGATATATCATCATGGGAAAAATGAACATATATTTGACAGAGTGCTGCACAGACAAAAGTTAAATATGCACCGTTATAAATCTAAAGTGAATATGTTTCATTTCAGAGTTACTCCTTAAATAAATCAACAAATTGGTATAGACATGTACTTATTTTGTGGTAGCTACATTACAAATATCTACCTATCTAGGAATGGAAAAGCCATTAATTAAAAATTGCAATGATGACTCGCTGTGTGCTTTTAGTATTACTCTGCCAATGTACTTAATAACAACATTCAGTCTCTGTTCTTAAGTACCAAACATTAGATCAATAGCTGTTCAAAATATACAAGATGAACATTTATACAAAAAAACCTTGGCTCAACAAAAGCTTGGGATACACACATTTTATTACACTTAAGCTGTACACTTAACAGAGCTTCATTTAACAAACATATAAGAGATGAACTGGTTGAGTTTAAGTGTAAGTTCAAAATTTTATGTTTGTTAAATTTAACTTGGAAATATTATTAAAGCAAAATTTAGTGAAACCACTTTCTGCATGAATAACACCTAACATTTTATTTATTGTAGGTGTTTTAGTAACGATATTCTGTGTAAGGAATGTTTAGCAACATTAAAGGTATTCCTAATAATAATAAAGTAAGTATTTTTTCACCAAAACATCTTTTAAACAATTATGTATACATTTTGTAATAAAATATTTATCGCTAAAGTTTATTTGCTAAAAGAATATATTAATTTTGATAAATAAACGATAAATTTTAAGGCTAATAATACTATTTTATATGTTAGCATCAACTAACATTTATTTGGCACTGCTGCTGGAAGTATCTTACGATGCAATTAAACTTTTTCTACGATTTGAATATATTATATTTTGTAATGCAAACTATGAATATTTTAACACATGTTAAATTAAAATGTGCACAGGCTGATAAGATGGATGTGAAAAAAATGAAATATACATAATAACGTACATATATTTACAAAATCTAAATGCCTTTTAGCAGCTTTAGTTACAAAAAAAATGTCATGATAAAGAGCAGGTTCACAAACCTACGTCCAAAAACGAATAATAAAAATAATACTAAACTGCAGAGTGTTTTCCTATTATTTCGCCAGATTTGGAATAAACATGTTTCCCATCAAACTCTAGAGACATCTGCTTCTCTTCTACTTTCAGGGGCTCTTGTTCCTCCCTAAGAATAAAAAGTAAATTAATGATGTGATGAATGAAATTAAGTAACATGCACACATGCATTTCTAACTCAATAATTTTTCTGAAGTTATTACCAAACTATTAAATGAGATTTTAAATTTATTTGCAATAAAAAAGAAAATGTTTTGTTTAGTATTACATTAGATATTTTCAGATTTAGTGTGAATGATACTTTTTATTATTAGTAATCAATTATTAAAGGCCAATTATAATGCCTAAGAATATACATATCTCACTTGTAAAATGCATAATGTGCAAACCCTACCTACCCTATATATGCCGATATAAAATTAACTTTTATATTAAATGATTTTTTTAATGAAAGTAAATTTTCATTGTCTGTGTTGAGAAAAAACCGATGCATGTTTAAGAATTAATTTGGTTTAATCCTTGTCACATTTTATCCTGAAAAGGGAGAAATATCAAAACAGAAATCGTGTGTTTTGTTTAGTGACGTGTGATGAGTTTCTATATTTTATCGTGTATCTAATTCTGACGGCCAGGAAAGAATAATGATAAAAATAATTAGTAATTAGATGTATGTACCTAGCTGATATTTTTTTTTAGTAAGTATACTGCTCTGTTAATTAGGAAGAGTGGAGAATTTTCAGTTTTATGGTTTTCATGTGATGTCTTTTATATAAACCAGATTAGGTCAAGATTCCTGTCTTAACCTAACCTGGATAAAAACAATCATTTTTCTTTTATTGAAAATTGTTTTGATAATTTTTTTGTTTAATGAGACAATTGCATTTTCAATATCAAATGTGCAAAATTAGCTAAATAAGGTAATTATTATATTGAAAACACCCCTAAGTGCTTTTATCATTAGGGCATATATGGAGGAAGCAAGCTTAAGGCGACAGTGTAGACGAGTGACAGAAAGAGAAAGAGTTAATTTGGGTAATATCTTTCTCTCTTTCGTAGGCACATGATTGGCTAACGTAACCTGTTCCTCAACAATTAGAGAGTATAGAAAGAGAGAGTGAGTACTCAAAATATCGCCCTTTTTCTCTACAGTGTCTACACTTTTTAACACACTGTGCTTCCTTCATGTAGTATGTGCTCTAATGCTCTTGTAACTTCTACCAAGTGCTTCTAAAGTACATTTTTTGTCAATTGTACGGCATCTAATGATTTCAAGCAACATGACCAATAATTTTTTGCATTAAAAATTAAAATTAAAAAATTATAAAATCAGCAAGATCAAATTACATTAAAACACAACATTCTGTTCACGGGCATGTGATTGGTGTCATTTTTCATGAGATTTTGTTCCACGAACTAGCAATTACATTATCTAGAGCATAGACGCAATGGTTTGCCATCGTTCATTGTAAACGAATCATTAATATTGATGACGCTAAGATTTAGACATTTTTAGTTAACACTACCAGGCGCGCAATGTTGGTTGCCTAAGCTCGGCGGTCATGTGGCATATAATCATTTATGAAGGTTCTGTAATTTGCGGGTTATTTGACGACTCATTTTAATATGAGTCTGAAGTTTGATTTTTATATCAAAATGTTACATTTTGGCGATAAGGGGTCCATAAACCGCCTTCAAACTTCACTCCACTAATAATATAATAGTTCTAATACGTGTATTGTACAAACTAAAAAGTTTTCAGTCAAGGTCTGTCGAGCAATTGATATTGTGAGTTTGAACATAAGAAATTGTGCCGGCGCCTAAACAATAAAAAGAGCAGTTTTAGAAAATTGTGTTTATACTTTTACTTTATATTTATTCATTAAGAATGGAAAACTTCGATCTGGAAATTCTAGAGACCAAAATATGACGATTGGGGTAAACATATGTCTTAAACAGTATTGAAGGTTTAAAATACAGGGTGTTAAAATGCAATTCTTCTGAAATTTCTCGATAATTTTGAATATCTTGAATCTTGCAGCATTAATTTAAAAATTATCGGACTTGTGGCATAATAAACAATAATTTCTGGTTAATTTTCCACTGGATATTCGGGAAATTAGATTACCCCTAATTCCTAATAATGTCCCCGAGAGAAAAAGAATTCTTGTAATTCTATTTTAAAAATAAATCATTCTCGAATTATTACTTTTTCTTGGTTATACAGCCTTCATTATCGCTCTCACGCAACGGCCGATAAACCATGGGTACTTTCCGATCCTGTATTACTGTTATCAAATACTTTAATTCTAAAAAGAAAAGATTTATATAGAGAGATTATATAGAGAGATTTTTATAAAAGTTAAAAATTGATATGGCTCAGAGGATGGTAAAATTAATAAATAACCATATGAAACTTTATAATGGTGACCATTTTTGTTTACTTTTAATGAATTATAATGATTAATTAAAACGATTAGCATAAGCATAATAAATTACCTAAATCATTTATCATTTTCCTTATGAATTTTAATTGTAAGAAAACAAATTGTAGCAAAACTATCTTTTCTTCATAGACAACCTCACAATACTTGCCAATCTTTCTATCAGTTGAATATTTGATTGTTCATATTTCCATTTCCTTTTTCTGAACTTGCAGGGAACCGTAGACAAAATTGGACATACATAACAGACAATTTGTCTGTCAATTCAATATTTTATTATTATTAATTTTCATATTTCTGTCTGAATTTGTGGGAAAACAAAGACAAAAAACATTTTATACATATACACAAGTATAAAAGAGCTAACATTTAGTGTGTATATACATGCATGCATGCAAACTGTATTCATACCGAGTACTGAGGTATGACTTTCGTATAAATGCATGCTGAGAGTACACAAAAAATTCTTACGTTGGTGTGGGAACCAATTTTATAGGCTGGGGCAAGTTGAGGCTGCTCGGATGGGCAGGGGCAGCTTTGTAACTGCAATAAGGCAGCGGAAAACGCCAACTGTATAAACTAAAATATGCATGGAAATATGTGCGTATGTATTGGAGAACTAAATTTCGAGAATTGTGGAAGCGTCACATAAGCTGTCAGTCATATGAAAGAATGTGCGTAACATTGTGTTAGTGTTATTTTAGATACGTCACTTCAGGGAGACCATGTAAAAAATCCTTTATAAAAGATTTCTCAACTGAAAGTCAAGAAAGAAGTTCATGTTCATGTAACAAAATAAGTAGAAATTCAGTGATTCTCATAGTAGCAAAGAATTAAACTTCCAAAAACTGCATGTTTAGCTATTGATGAAATATTTAATTGGTTCTGTAAAATACAAGACAAGAATATTTTCATATCTAAACGTCTACTCAAAGAAATGGTATTGGAAGCAGCTCAAATTATGCATCTAACTTCAAAGCTTCCAAGCTTCCAATGGTTGGTCGGGAAAAAATTGTAATTAGCATAAAATTCCCTTTAAAAGTGTGTACGGTGTAGGTATATGCTATTTTACTTTCAAAAATGTTGTAAACTTTTAAAATGATGACTGGAAAGCTAAGTTGCAATCAATATGAAAAGACTACTCCCCCAAAAGATATTTTTAATGCTGTTCATCAGCAACAGGTCTTATTTTTTCTACTACAGAAACAGGAAGAAAATCGGTAAAGGAAAAAACGATACTGTTGTGTTTAAACATAGAAGGCGATAAAGAAAAGACGTTAGTTACTAGAAAAAGTAAGAAACCCAGATTATTCAAATATGGATAAATTGGGCCTCCAATAAAAAAATTTGTATGACTGGAATTTATTTCAACATGGTTAATGAATTTTGAAAGCAAGATGAAGTGAGAAAAGATAAATGTAGCTTTACTTTTTGATAACGCAACTTCTCATTAGAATATTTACCCCACCTCTAAATAATGGAAAGCTCTATGTATTGAATATTTTAAGATTCTAGTGGGTCTCTGCTACTAGGAGGCTATACTGTTTAGAAATAAATATAGTGAGCATACTGATTTTCAAATTGAGATAATATAATATATTACTAGAACATAATAAATTTAATAATTATAAAGGATTTTTCAATTGTAATTTTGTAAACAAGCCGTTAAATATTTATCTAGAAAATATATAATGTTCGAAGTTTATTCCTTAATTTATCTAAATACTTATTTCAAAAAGAAGTTTATGATTTAGGAATGAAAGTTCTAGACATTTCGTTCATAAAATATTAGGTGTGATGCAATGGTGATAACTCTGATTTTGATCGTAACAAATATTTAAAATTTGTGAAACTGTAGTTGACAATGAAACCACATAAAAAATTGCAAAAATTTGTGCAGTAGAGAAAAATATATTCCATACATTCATATACATTCATGAACTGCCAAAATGTGAAAACAACTTACCTCCCAAGCTTCGGGTCTTCTTCGTCGGTTCGTTTTGATTTGGAATTACAACACAGTGCTATCAAACCGATTCGATTTATGCAATAACAAGTTATGTCCAGCACCAACAGGACTAACAGTATTGCGCCAATAACTATACCGATTATAGCAGCGCTGCTCATTGCTGGGCTTTGGACTGGAACAACAGGATCTATGCCTAAAGAATAAAAATTTTGTTTTAATTTTATCGTTATATTATATGATGACAGTGTGGTGTTTAATCAGTGTTAGTTTATTGAGTGACATATATTTGATATTGCAATTCTCTGTCCATGGGAAAATGTCACAGCAATTAGTTATATACACATTTATAAATAACACACTAATACAAGGTCTAACCTCTGATCTGTTTTTTTATATGTTTACGCATATTATTCAGAGTATCAAATAATTATTCGTCTCCTTCAACTGTTATTAAGGTACATAAGTATTTATAATTTTCAATTAATATTCATTGTTGAATATATTCATAATAGACTAAGAGTGAAATATTTATTATGATTTCTAATTAATATAGGTTTTCAGTGCGACGGCTGATGAAAAGTATGTGGTTATATTTTGATAATGAGGCATAACGAATTTACTTTTTTAAAATGAACCGTAACTATAAAAAATTGATTATTATTTATCAAAAAATGTTTGGGTACCATTCTTCGTTACCGATATATATATATATATATATATGGTAAACATAT